TTTATTAAATAAGTCATACTTGTTGACTGTTTTTCTAATTGTGCTCTCATGAGCTTGTCGTGGAAAAAAAGAGATTCCCCAAACAACCAAGTTTAGGCTTCATCACAGTCCCTTGCCAAACTTTCACTAACCTACTTTTGTTACCTACTTTTAACCTGAGGCTTGTAGAGTCTGAGACTGAACTGTTTTATCTGAGCATTGCACGGTCTGGCCTTCGGGGAGAATTTACTGGGACATGCACACCTGCGAAGATTGTTTTCCACTTGGGAATAAACTTTCTCTGTAGAATCTTGGAAACCAAATTGTTTGGCCTTACAGTTCAGCTCTCTCTTCACCACAATGGACCAGTACAGAGTCCGCAATACTGCAGTTCTGCACCGATCCATCTGTCAATCTCACGCTCTACTCGTAACAAAACTCCGAGATACTTGAACTCCTCCACTTGAGGTAGAACCTCACCCTCGACCTGAAGAGAGCCATCCACCCTTTTACGGTTCAGGACCATGGCCTCAGATCTAAAGGTGCTGATCCCATCCCATGATTATCCCAGCTGCTTCACGCTTGGCTGCGAACTGCTCCCGTGTGAGCTGAAGCTCACGGCTCGATGATGTCAACAGGACCACATCGTCTGCAAAGAGCAGAGATGGAATCCTGAGGCCACCAAACCAGAATCCCTACGCCCCCTGGCTGCACCAAGAAATTCTGTTCATAAATGTTATGAACAGAATCGGTGACAACAAGCAGCCCTGGCGGAGTCCAACTCCCACCCTGAAGTGGGCCGACTTATACCATACCATACCATACCATTTTATTTATAGAGCACTTAAAACAGACTTATGCATCAAACTCTTGCAACACTTGTTTAGGAACTGAACAGTCCGTAAGCCCTGATTCAAAATTCCTGAATGAAAAATTTTAATGACTTTGAGCAATAAAGCAAATATGATTGAGATTAATTCCAACCATGTGATGGAAAACGGAAATAAACCATAGCAACAAGATACTTTAAGATTAGGCCTGACACAATAACAAATTTTGCTGGGCGATTAATTGTCTCAGAAATTATTGCGATAAACTATTGATACTATTGTTTGAAATTTGACAATAATTAGTAATTATTGCCAAATTTAAGAAGAAATGTTTAATTTGTTTTGAGTATAGTACCTTTTTTGAACACCGGATGGCAGTATAAGACGGTTTGAACTGAAGGATGGATAGTGAGGGAGGGAGCGAGCAGCGTGTCTCTTTAAGAAAAATGGGAGGGAGGCCCCTTGATGTGACATGGGCTGTTTGTCTTTCTTTTTTATCGGTTCTCAAAATGGCAGACGCTCTGTGTGGTTTGAGCTCTTTAGCATAGCATTTTTCACACAAAGCTTTTAATAAAAACAAGTTTTCAGCTTCAGCAATTTTCAGTCAGGTCATCTGGACAGTTTCTTTTTTTGCTGAAACGTTTCACCTTCCGGAAGGCTTCATCAGTCAAGGAAACGCACAACACAAAACTGATTCTTCCCCCAAACAGCTTACTCCAAAGTGGAACAAACCAGTTATATTGGTGCTAAAATGGTGTCTTTGGCAAACGTTTCAGTAAAAAAAGAAACTGTCCAGATGACCTGACTGAAAATTTTTGGATTGTATACCTGGATTATTGAGCATGGACCTTTTTGGTTTTGAACCAGTTTGACATGATTGTCAACAAGGAAGAGGGACGGCACAAGAGGAGGGGGCGTGCCAAAGACACCATCTTAGCACCAACATAACTGGTTTGTTCCACTTTGGAGTAAGCTGTTTGGGGAAGAATCAGTTGTGTGTTTCCTTGACTGATGAAGCCTTCCGGATGGAAGGTGAAACGTTTCAGCCAAAAAAAGAAACTGTCCAGATGATCTGACTGAAAATTGTTGGATTGTAATCCTGGATTATTGAGCATGGACATTTTTAAGTTCTCAGCTTCTTTTTGCAGGGAAATACAACTTTTTGCACAAAGGCACGGGTTTCAACCGTGAATTTTGGCACTTCAACAAGATGGAGGTTTTTTCCCCGAGGTTGGCCTGTTAGTTTAGCTCGTAGCTTAGCTGCTTTGAACCGTCCAAAAACATGATTTTTGACAATTAAAACAGATTTTAAAGAGAAAGGGAGGGGTCAGTGAAGAGCACCGGAGTTGAGCCTTTTGTCATCCAGTGTCTTCAGTAGAAAGAGAGAGACGAAGAAACGCTAAAGGCGATAAATGAAAACAAGGTGGATAAATTTTTTTTATCATGCGATTAATTTATTTATTTTTATTGTGACAGGCCTATTTAAGAAAAACAAACAAACAAAAAAAAACATGCAAAATTCTTATTATTTAAGATGTACAAAAAGATGACCCAATTATGGATTCTATGTAATCAGGACAGAACATTAAATTGTTGGCGCAGGTGGAGATTTCAGTAATTAAGTCATCTTAACAGGTTTTAAGCTACAAGATGAAAAAGGTTTTGAGACCAACCTGAATCTGAACATGAGGAGACATTCAGCACTAATTATTGTTCACATAATCAAAGCAATAAGGCCCTCTTGTCTCATCGTCCATTACACTTACTCCCCTAAAATTAGTTTCCTATCAAATAATGCTACAGTGTAAGTTGTGTGTCTGATCCAGATGACAATCATCAAGCTGAATTTATTATTTTCACAGAGCCCCAAAGGACTGCACGTATTCAGGCTGGGTCGAACGCCACCCGACCCTGGAAAGCACCTTCAAGAGGGAAAACGGGCACATTTGGTAAAGTTCAGAAGGACTCACGTCCTTCACTTGTTTTGCAAGGTGGGAATCTATAGTGGTTTAAAGAGGATGGGACACGGGATGAAAATGTGTCAGTTTAAAACAAAAAAAAAAAACGCACAATATTGTCCCTTTTTTCAGATTATTAACTAGCCAAACTGCTAGAACATAAAAAGAAGGTTGAAATGTAAATGTTGGATTTAATGACTTTGTCAAGCAACTAAAATCAAACGGTTGAGAAAATGACCATTGTTGATAACTAATATTGGGATTTTGCTGTTTGAATTTGTTGCAGTACTTTGTGTGAATAAATATCTGGAAACGTTCCACTGGAAACACTTAGCTCGATACCTCTTGGATTACTTTATTAAGAGTCCGTTCCCTAAAAATGTAAGCAAATCTACTTTAATAACTGCAGCCCTTCCACAGCTTTGATCCACTAAATATACAAATACCACAGCGGAGGAAAGCGTACACTCATCCACTCATATTTATTTTTGCTGAGTTCTTTAGGCAGAACGCTCCAGATCGCTGAAGCCGAAACATGTTTGAACGGTTAGGGATCCTGCTCAAAACGTACCACTTCCCAGCAGAGCCTCGTGATTATATGATTTTATCTGTATATAAAGGATGTAATTTGCTTTTAGATAAACAAGGGTGTATGAGGACAACGAAGCACGTACTAGCAGTGGACTTGAGGCCTGTTTAATAGCACAGAAGTGGAAATATTTCTTAGAAATGAACTGAAACGCCTTTATTTTGGAAGAAGTCATGGTTGAGTGACTTTATTTTGTTCTCATCAGCACAGCATGTTTGATCAGTTTGCATGTTCATTCAAAAAAATGATTTTTTATTTTTTTTTTAAGAGGCATAATGGATGCAGACTCAAGAGTTAATGGTTCTGGGTTTGTTGTGCCTTTTCTCAGCCTTGGATCTTATTGATTACAGAACATTTTGAATTTGAGATATCAAATAGAAATCTAAGAAATCACATTTTACACAAAGGATTTTAAAAAGTAGTAGTAGCCTTGTCCCCATGAGAGATGCTGTGTTCACATGTATGAAGTTGCTCATTGATGTGGAACAAGCTATTCAGATTTAAATCTAATGCCATGTGTACTGAAACCAAAGATGACCTCCTCCATTTAAAGATTTTTCTCATTTAATGCAGTGCCTCCAACACTTGTCTCTTAAACCATTTAACTTCTTGGTCCAAAATCTGAATCTACTAGGCCTGTCACGATAATAAATTTCGCTGGGCGATTAATTGTCTCAAGATTTATTGCGATAAACGATAATATTGTTTGAAGTTTAACAATAATTAAATGTCAAATTTTAGAAAAAATTATTTGTTTGGTGTGTAGTACCTTTTTTGACCACCTGATGGCAGTATAAGACTGTTTAACCCAAAGGATGGATAGTTGAGCAACATGTCTTTTTGTGAAAAATGGGAGGGAGGACCCTTGACATGGGCTGATATGGTGACATGGCGGACGCTCGGTGATTTGAGCTCTTTAGCATAGCATTTTTCACACAAAGCTTTTAATAAATAAATTTAAAAAAATCAGTAAACAAGTTCTCAGCTTCTTTTTGCAGATAAAAACAACTTTTTGCACCAAGTCACGGGTTTCAACCATGAATTTTGGAGCTCGACAAGACGGAGGTTTATTCCCGAGGTCGGCCTGTTACCTTAGATCATAGCTGAGCTTCTCAGCTTAGCTGCTGTTAACAATCCAAAATGCTATTTTGGACGGTTAAAACAGATTTTAAAGAGAAAACAGAAAGGGAGAAAACAGTGAAGAGCACCAGAGTTGAGCCTTTTGTCATACAGTGTCTTCAGTAGAAAGAGAGAGACACGAAGAAACAATAAAGCTCATAAATGGAAATGAGGTAGATAATTTTCATTCATCATGCGATTAATTGATTTATTGTTTATCGCTACAGGCCTAAATCTTATAGTTCTTAAAAGTGTGCGCTTATCGTTGAGATGTCAAATTGTCAAATTTTCTTAGAAACATTGGTTACACATGACTTAACCAATGTTAATGGAGGTCAGGGTCTACCAGCAATTCCAGGCCTGTTAGGGACAACATTTCTCATTGCTGTCCCCAACAGCAATCAGAAATGTAACAGTTTGATCAACGTCTTTAGACTTTGCATGCATCAGTTAACAGTTTTCGACGTAAAGCAAAAGCCGAGAGATTGAACTTGTATTTTTTTTTCTCCTTCTCCACAGCAGAAAATGGTGGCTGTACCTTCCCACTCTTTCCATCATGTCATCTTACTGTTCCAGTTGTGTTTGTTACACATGGTTCACGGCGGAGCATATTACGGACAGAAACAGCCTCCGCAGCAGCACCAACCCATTCCACAGTACGACGGGTTTCAACAGCAGCAGTTTCTGGGAAATGAAATGCCATTGCTACCTCAGAATGGAAATGAGTTTCCTCAGCTGCCTTTGCAAATGGCAAAACAAAGGCTACTGACGAAGGGCAAAGGTGAGTTGTTTTTAAACGTCTCGCTCAATCTTCTTCTTCTTTCGGCTTTTCCCTTTTCAGGGGTCACCACAGCGAGTCATCCTCCTCCCTCTTACTCTGTCCTGCTTTGATGAACTCGCATTATAGTTTTGGCAAAAAGGGTTTTTTTGCTTCAAATGTCCTTCCTGACACAACCCTCACCAATTACCTGGGCTTGGCATTGGCATAAGAGATACACTGGCTAGTGCACCAATGACTGCTGGAAATAAGTGTGTCTCTGCACAAAGAGTGGGCAAAGAAGATCAGAATCAGAGAGATTTATTTGTCATTCGCATCTCATGTGGTACATGTGGTGGAACGAGATTATGTGCACAGGGTCCAAGTTACATCCAACAATAAAATGTAAAAGAAAAACAGTAACAAGATCTAAGATATTAACTAAGAAAAACAACTAAATATACACTAAGCACCAATAGCATAAAAACATTACATCGAACCGCAGCACGAACACGAGTCTGAGTGAGCATATGAGAACGCATGAACACAGCAACATGAAACAGATCAGCAGCAACATGAAACGGATCAGCAGCAACATGTGATTTTTCACAGTGATTATCCTGATTAGAGATTCATGAGTCTAACAGCCTCAGGGTAGAAGATGTTCCTCAGTCTAGTGGTTCTGCACTTAATGCTCTTTAACCTCCTTCCTGAGGGGAGGGGGGCAAAAAGTGTGTGTGCTTGGTGAGTGGGGTACTTCATGATGCAGGGCCTAAATCTTCCTGCATCTAGAAGTGCAGATGTCTGTGATGATGGGGAGGCTGACTCCAACAGTCTTCACCACTCTCTGCAAAGCTTTTCTTTCTGCAGCTGTGCAGCTCCCATGCCACACGTTTATGCTGGAGCACAGGATGCTCTCCACTGCACACCTGTAGAAGGAGGTGAGGACTGAGCTTCCCAGACCAGCTTGTCTCAGCCATCTGAGGAAGTAGAGTCTCTGATGAGCTTTCTTGATCAGGCTGGTGGTGTTGTTGCCCCAGCTGAGGTTGTTGTTCAGGTGTACACCCAAGTACTTGTAGCAGGAGACCACTTGCACTGCAGATCCTCTTATGTTCAAGGGGGTGTAGGTGTGTTTGTTCCTTCTGAAGTCCACGATTATCTCCTTTGTCTTCTTCACATTGATGTGAAGGTTATTCTCTTTGCTGTCCAGGTATTCCACCTCCTGCCTGTAGCTGGACTCATCGTTGCTCGTGATGCATCCCACCACTACTGTATCATCTGCAAACTTTACAATATGACAGCCTGGATGAGTGGGTGCACAATCATACATGAACAGAGTAAACAGGAAAGGGCTCAGCACACATCCCTGAGGGGAGCCAATGCTGAGGGTTATAGTGGAGGAAGAGAAGTTGTGGATCTTCACTGACTACGGTCTGTTTGTTAAGAACAAACAGTTGCAAATGGATGGGCTTAGTCCTAGTGTGAGTAGTTTGTCAATCAGGGTTTGGGGAATCATGGTATTGAAGGCAGACGTGAAATCCACAAAGAGCATACAGATGTAAGAGTCCTTCTGCTCCAGGTGGGTGAGAGCAGTGTGAACCACAGAGGAGATGGCGTCCTCAGTTGATCGGTTCTCACGGTGTGCATACTGATGAAGAATAGATGGATGGAAATTTTCGAAAAATTATACGACAAACTGAAAATGTTTAACATAGTATGTGTCGAGGTTATTATTATGACAGACATGGCACAAGTGCTGCATGGTGAATGTTAGTTAGCACCGTTGCCACACAGCAGGAAGGTTGTAGGTTGACCCCTCACAGAGAGCCTTTCTTTGTGGACTTTTGGTCAGTTTTCTTTGTGCACACATGGGTTTGCATGCACACACATGGGGGTCGAGATGGGGTAGAGGTAGGGCAGCCAGCCTGGGACCAGAAAGTCACTGTTCGACTCTCAGCCATTCACACATGTCGTGGTGTCTCTGAGAAAGACAATCCCCAATTGCTCCCCAGGTGCCTACATAGCTGCCCACTGCTCCACGTGGGTGTATCTCACATGTGATGGTTTAAATGCAGAGAAATAATTTCGCCATTGTATGTGAACATACAATAATGACAATCATCAATCAGGGTTTGATCTCAGACTTCCCTTCTCCTTTCTCTTGATGCACTGGTTTCTGCCAATATTTGGAAAGCATGCAAGTTAGCTTATATGGCTACCCTAAACTTTCACTGTGCAAGTGTGAGCACAAATGGTTGTTTGTCTCCAAGTGAAGCTGTGATGAACTGGCGACCTGTCCGGGGCCTTTTACTCAATGGTCTCTTGAGAGAGCCAATTGCTCTCTGCAAATATTAACATGAAGTAGATAAAGAAAATGAATAAACATTATTTAACTCATAAGTGAGTCATCATTTCTGTTTCATTTGTTCACAGGGCAAACTTTTCCAAGAGGAGCCAAGGGTCCACCTTTACCTTTTCCTGATGGACAAGGTTTTCCAGAAGGACCACAAGGAATTCAGGGCCCCCCTGGACCAACTGGGCCACCAGGTCCACAGGGCCCTTCTGGGCCACCAGGTCAGGGAATGCCGGGTTTGCCAGGAACGCCAGGGCCCCCTGGTCCTCTGGGCTACAGAGGAGTTGGAAAACCTGGTATGCCGGGGTTGCCTGGAAAGCCTGGAGGCCCCGGACTACCAGGTCCAAAAGGTGACCTTGGACCAGTGGGTGAAGATGGGCCACCTGGACTTATTGGGCAACCAGGACTCCCAGGTCCCACTGGACTCCCTGGAAGATCAAAACCAGGAGGTCAGGGTCTGCCGGGACTTCCAGGCCATTCTGGTGAGCCTGGTCAAAACGGCCCACCTGGGTTCCCTGGTCCATCTGGCCCAAAAGGAGAACAAGGACTTGGTATACCTGGTTTTCCAGGTTTGAAAGGACCTAGTGGCCCACCTGGCCCACCTGGACAAGTAGGTCTTCCTGGCAATGGTAAACCTGGCTCTAATGGTCTACCTGGACAACCTGGAATACCAGGGAAACCAGGTCCTCCTGGAGAACCTGGGTTTGCAGGACAACCTGGTGAAAGAGGCCAAGCAGGACTTCCAGGGATGCCAGGAATTGGGAAACCAGGAAACGATGGGTTTAGAGGTCAACAAGGCCTTCCAGGAGGAAAAGGTGAAATTGGGTCTCCTGGTTTAACTGGACCCCCTGGTTTACCTGGTTATGGTAAAACAGGATTTCCAGGACCAAAGGGTCACAAGGGACAAGCTGGACCTCCAGGACCATCAGGCTCAAAAGGGGAAAAGGGTCAAGTAGGGCTTCCAGGGGTAAATGGTCCAACTGGGCTTAATGGAATGCCTGGTGCACCAGGCTTAATGGGACTTCCTGGTGATTTTGGCTTCCCAGGACTAAAAGGAGAGGGTGGTGATGGAGGTCCAAGAGGAAATCCTGGAACAAAGGGCGATAGGGGACCTTCAGGTCTTCCAGGACAACCTGGTAGTTTAGGAGACAGTGGACAACCTGGACCAAGAGGTGTACAAGGGCCCATTGGCCCTAAAGGAGACACTGGTTTTAGAGGTTTACCTGGTGCCCCTGGTGCTGCAGGATTACCAGGACCAAAAGGAGAGGGAGGAGAACCTGGAGACAAAGGTCACCCAGGACCACAGGGTATTCCTGGACTTACAGGACCAGGGGGACCAATTGGACCTCCTGGTCTGCCAGGACATAAAGGTGAAGCAGGTCCAGTAGGTAACCCTGGTTATCCTGGGAAGGGAAACCCTGGACCCCCTGGTCAAATTGGTCCTCAAGGTAGCCCTGGTGTCGGTGGCCCCCCTGGACTTCCAGGACGACCAGGACCACCAGGGCCCCCTGGTCCTCCAGGACTATCCACTTCATACCCTGACCTTGGCCAGATTCTCCCTCACAGCGGCCCTTACGAGAGTCAAAGCAACGAAAAACTAAAGAATGGAGGTGAGATCAGCGGAGCCACCTTGAAAATGCCTGCATTCACAGCAAAGCTCACAAATCCATTCCCTCTAGTTGGTTCTCCCATCATCTTTGATAAACTCCTGCACAATGGCAATCAGGACTACAATTCACAAACTGGTATTTTCACCTGTAGCTTACCAGGAATTTATTACTTTGCCTATCATGTTCACTGCAAAGGAAGTAACGTTTGGGTGGCACTGATGAAAAACAACGAGCCAGTCATGTACACTTATGATGAGTACAAGAAAGGGTTGCTGGATCAGGCTTCGGGGAGTGCTGTACTCCCCTTACAAAGAGGGGATACTGTTTATGTACAATTACCATCAGATCAGGCAGCAGGACTTTATGCTGGTCAGTATGTCCACTCCACCTTTTCCGGATATTTACTGTACTCGATGTGAACAAGTTTGTGAACGTTAGTCTTGATGCATCAATGGAAAATTCAGTATAACAATGCTAACATTGCTTCAAACTCGAGGTTTAGGTAGGGCAAATTAAAGGAGACAAAATAAATTTTAAAAGGGTATTTTGAGCTTTGGATTTATTCAAGTATTTAAGGAAAGTGTATGGAGTGACATCAGTTTGGAGAATTGGTGAGAAATTTGTTAAGCTAACAAAACGAGAGACTAGCCTGTCACAATAGCAATTTTTGCTGGGTGATTCATTGTTTTTGCGATAAACAATAATATTGTTTGAAATTTGGCAATAATAATTATTAATATATATAATAGTAATTATTGTCAAATTAAAGAAAAAATGTTGGTTAATATTTTGCATGTTGTACATTTTTTGACCACCAGATGGCAGTACAAGACTGTTTGAACCAAAGGATGGCTAGTGAGGGAGTGAGTAGTGTGTCTCTAGGAAAAATGCGAGGGACATGGGCTGTCTCTCTTTTTCGGTTGTCAAAATGGCCAATGTTCGGTGTGGTTTGAGCTCTTTAGCGTAGCTTTTTTCAAACAGAGCTTTGACAAGACAAAGGTTTTTTTCTCGAAGTCGGCCTGTTAGCTTAGCTCATAGCTTAGCTTGTCAACTTAGCTGCTTTTAACGTGATTTTGGACGGTTAAAATTGTTTTGTTTTTTTTTAAGAGAAAAGAAGGGGTCAATGAAAAGCACTTGAGTTGAGCTTTTTGTCATCCAGTGTCTTCAGTAAAGAGAGAGACACGAAGAAACGATAAAGCAGATAAATGAAAATGAGGTTGATTAATTTATCATGTAAATATTGATTTATTGTTTATCGCAATAGACTTAAGTTTTGGCTTATCAAACCTGAAAAAACATTATCGCAATTCAAGCAATAGTATTTTATTTATTATTATTCTAGCACTACTTTACAAAATTTTGACTTTTACTAATGTTGATTTTCTCCCACAGACCAAAAACATGCAAGTTTAGGTTCTTTCACAAAACAGTTCTGCAAAATAATTGCTACGCCCAGTCCGTCTTTATGTTGCCTCTGTTTAAAAATCACCCATGGAGCTGGCCACATCCCACACAGACAAGCTTTCAGAAATGAAGTGAGGAACCTGAACGTGAACCTGAAGCACTGACCACTGCCATTTGTCTTCTGTCAAAAAAGAAAAAGTACTACAACGGCTAAACCAAGTTAATTTGTCACATTTTTAAAATGACGAGACATCTGTATGCATTTTCTGCCTAACCTTGCTCATATTTAATTTGTCTGTGCGTGAGCTGTTGACTATGGCGGCCTTGAAGTTTAGACCACAACAAGAAATTAAACACATTTGAAAAAATGCAATTACAATTGAAGAAATACATTACAATAAGCAAAACCAGAAGAGGTGGGACCATTGGGAAACGAGAGATAAAGCTGATTGGACGATGGGGCTTTTGAACCTCCCACTTTTCCCATCTCTAAGGGTTTTGCTTACTTTTCAAATGTTATTTCTTAATTTGTAGTTGTGTTTTAACATTCAGGGCCACCGTAGTTGACTGATTAGTTATTTATGAAAGATCTGAGGCAGCTTAAAGACAAACTTGTTTTTTGTTGAGCGGTTTTGTGAAAGTGCCTTATTTGATTTGTAGTTTTGATGTTTTTGTGAGTCAACATTTTCTATAATTTATTTTTGTGACTACTGATTACTTAAATTAGCGTATCTTGAACAATCCGAGGCCAAAAATCTGGAAAAGCATTTACATTTGGGTTCAAGTACTTTCTCATAGCCACATTGACAGTTTTTGTAATCATTTGTCAAACCGTGGCGGTGTGTTTTTTTCAGTCCAGTTGTTATTCTCTCTTTATCGCTATGGCAGGCAATGGTCCACATAAGTATATCTAAAGTGTGCAATATCACGTCTTTCTAAGAGTGAATATTACAGTTAGACTTAGTGTTAAATATACATTTAACAAAAGACAGTTTTAATTACCAACCATTGGTCATTGCTCAAAAAGAAAAGGTAGTGTCTTCCAGTTGTGGGCTTGGCAGTTTTCCCTTACAATATGTTGAAATGAATGTATGTCTTTTTACAAAGGTGAATAAAATAATTCTAAAAAAATTGAGTGTTGGCAGCTTTCCAAAATAAAAAGGGTCTGGATTTAGTGCCTGGAAGTTCGAACTTCGAAATTGTGAGTGGAGTTGTGTGGAAAATGTCGTAGATGAAAAACAAGGTGCTTTAGGTTCTAACGGTTCCAAGTTCAACATCAGCTGATGTTTTGACACACCACACAGAAGATTGAAATATTTCAAGCAAAAAAAAAAGTGTTTGCCCTGGCAGCACAATCTGTTAGACATCTGTCTCCTGCTCTGGAGGATGTTGGGTCAAATCTTGGTACAAAATTTAAAAATTTATCAGAACAAAATAGAAATAAAAGCCCTTGGAGAACATTTCATAAAGAAAGGTACTGGTGGTTAGGTGGGTTTGACAGTGCTTAGTAAGTGGTTCAAGAACAAATGGTTCTAGAATTGCACTGCTCAAGGTGGCTGCATGTTGGAGTAGCTCCGTTACATTCGTTTAGAGTTGTTCCTTTAAAAACTTAAATTCCTCTTTTTTCTGGATGTAAATCGCTTTTTGCTGATAATTATTTCCGCTGGTATTGGATGTTGTGCAGTTGGAAGGATTTTTTCTGAAACCTTTTTACTTTTTGACACTTGTTATGATGTGTAACCATGACAAGGCGTTTTTTTTTTTTTTTTTTTAAACAACAGGCGTAGCTGATTAACATCTCAAAACCTCAAATACCTCAACTACAGCCCCAAATTCCAAATGAGTGGAAAAAGAGGTGCCGTGGACAAATTCCCGTCAACCTGGCGGCGGTGCTCGAGTACGACTGCCAAGATCCTGGAACTGGTGGGAAACTTGGCTCTTGACAACGAGAGGACCAAGGTCATCCCCCGGCACCTTTAACTGTCTGTACGTGGCGACAAGGAGCTCGGCAGACCGCTGGGAGGTATGACCATCGCTCAGGGAGGAGTTCTGCACGGCATTCAGGCAGTCCTGCTGCCCAGGATCTGACAGCAAGCTGGATCTAGGTGGACGGATCGGTATCTGTGGCCAGATTCTTTGGATTTTCTGCAGGGGATCCTTCCTGTCCACAACTATCAGCATCTATAACAATTCTTGAATGAAACCAGGCTGATGAGCTACAACAATACTTAATTTCCCTTTGGGATTAACAAAGGATTTGAATTCAATTCAATTAAAAAATACTACCTGAAGCCAGTACCTGGATTGCATCTACACAGGATGGAAGGGGTTGTGGGCTGGTGTGTGCCCCTGGGGCTCCAGAGACATGGACATAGGGGGTCATGGAACGGAGAACAATGAGTAGCTTCCTTCTTGGAGAAGGGAAATGCAGTATAACAACATTAATTGCTCTGCTTCAAAGTGAATTTTTAGAATATTTATTCCCTATACATCTTTGTAACATTGCACATCATTTATTTTATTCTTTTTTAAAACAATAGACAGATGAGGTTTTCATTGTTTTGGTCACAATAAAATAATTAAATAAATGATAGAAAAGTCTTCTGCACACAACCACATATAAAGTTCTACACACTGAATACAACAATGGAACAGGACAGTTAATTCTATCTGTACAAATAAGTTACACATTTTATAATATTCCACTTTTGGCCCAATGAGAAGCAAAGACATACGGTCCTTACTTCATATCTGAGGCGTTAAAGGTTTTGTCTCCAAACCATGTTGGAATGATATCCCTTAATTTCTTAGACAATTATTTATCCTGTTTGGATAAAACATGATTTACTGTTAAACATTAATTTCACAACTAGTTTTTTTTTCTTCTTTCTCTCGCATTCAGAGTGACAGTGGCAGACGAGATCTATGGTAACGAACCAACTTGTTGAGAGGAAACTGAATCAGTGACATTAACGAACACCCCGATTAACAGTGAAGGGCTGTTTCTAAATGCACCTTTTGACTAAGCCATTTTCATGACGTTCCTGTGTTACCTGTACCATTTGTAAGCATTCAGGTTTGGAAACAAAATTTCACCCTTACCAAAAAAAAAAAAAAAAAAACAGATACCCCATTTTCATGTTTAGTTACTATTTTCATTCTTAAAAAAAAAAAGACTGAAGCATATTTGAGAAAATATTACCAATGTTCTTCAATAACCCTTATGGAGAAACTGTTTTTGACCTTAAAGGGACAATGTACGAAGTGCTATGAGCAGTCAGGATCTTATCTGTATTTCACGACTGGGACACTTTCTCATCGTCTTGGTTTAAAGGTCAGACCTTAGATCTGAGGAGTTGGGTACTTACTGATCTAAAGCAGACATCACAGCTTCAGGATGAATTCTAGTGATGACAGTTTATGCTCACTACTGACAGCCAACAATCATTATTGGACAAATGGTGATTTAAAAACATCCCATTTAAAAAAATCAGACAAATTCTCATTAAGGACTCAACCTGACTGTGATGGACTTGTGACCTGTCCCGGGTGTACACCACCTTTCGCACAGTGATTGCTGGACCCCCGCGATCCTAAAAGGAAAAAGCGGGTTCAGATAATGGATGGATGGATGGACTCGAGCTGATAATCATTTACACCAACTAAAATACAAACAATGAACCTTCCCAGGACTTCTGAAGAACACTAAAGTGCCTTAGATAGTGTGTAGGACAGTAGTAGGAGCTTACAGACATTGGAGTCTAAAATACAACATGACAGCCTCTATAAATACGGTACTATTTATGGGAAAAGCAAAAAAAAAAAAAAAAAGTACCACAAGCTTAGCCTCCCTGGTAAAGTCTTTTTAGGGGAGAGTCCAATCGTTGGTTGAACCTCAGATCCAGGAGGAACAATGAAGGTTCCGTCCTGGCCATGGAACACTGGATCAGCTCTTTACCCTCACTAGGGTCCTCAAGCGGTCATGGGAGTTTGCCCATCCAGTCTACATGTGTTTTGTAGACTTGGAGAAGGCATTCGACTGGAGTACCCTGTGGGGGGTGCTCTGTGAAAATGGGATTGGGGCCCATTGTTATGGGCTGTTTGGTCCTATACAAGCGATGCAAGAGTTTAGTTTGCATTGCCGGTAGTAAATCAGTGTGGGATTTGGACTCTACCAGGGCTGCCTGTTGTCCCCAATTCTGTTGATAACTTTTATGAACACAATTTCTCAATGCATCCAGGGGGCGGATACATAAACATCCATTGCTCAAGGGCTCACAGTAGGCAGATGTCGGTGTTTTGCCTTTCACACCAAAATTTTGTTGTAACTTCCAAATCAGAAACTCGTCTTTTATAACTTCTGCCACCACTCCTCTCCCTACCACTTTGATACAAACTTGAGAAAAATTGTATTGCTGTCCCCAATCTGAATTCTCCCAGGGTTTCAAAAAGAAGAAAATCAACTGGAGACTAATGCCGATAAGACTCAACTACTCACAGCACTTCCACACAACCCCCCTCCAAACAAATACAAAAAAAAAACATTTAAAGTTCCTGCATTGATGACTTAGTCAAAAGTTGCTAAAAAAAAAAGCAAGCCCTGGTCCTTCAGTCCAGTTTCAAGACAAATGCACACACACACATGCATCCACAACTTCTTCATCCACACATGTGCACTCCCCAAACACAGAAACACACAGTAAAGCACGCCGTGTCCATTTACACCCAGGAGTCGGGGGAGCCGGTGAAATTATTCGCCCTGTTTGAAGGCCTCCGAGTAGTGGAGTAGAAATCCACGTAGTTGGTGTTAGCTTTGAACTGGAGTGACTGACCCACAAAGCCGTCTGGTGAGGATGGGATCAGGTGGACTGGTTCATCCTCAAAGTGGTCCTCACCGTAACCTTGTGGGGACGACAGGTACATTCTGTAGCTGTTGTAATTTTTCCTGTCAGGTTCGTCGTAAAATGGCTCTGCGTGCTGCAAGAGACAATTTGTTTTAGTTTTGGAATAAACACAATGTGGTGATTTCGTAAAGAAATATACAATATTTAACCCCTGGAAGGTCTCTTGTTATCAGATTTATGTTCTGTTATTATTTATTTATTGTTTAAGGGTGCTGTCAGTAAAAAAAAAAAAATAATTACTTTTGTTTTGTAAAAATTTTTTTCAAAAGCTCCTGTAACTTCACAGTAACATCACCGCCCTCTACTGTTGCTTAGAACAAACATTTTCCATAGAGAGATACCATCGTAAATGCAGTTTAAGAGCTCATAATCATAACTAATTCCTTTCAGTCATGTTTTTGTCCTTTGTCGCAGAGCAAAGAGTGGGAACTAAAATCACCTTCTGTTCATCTGTGGTTATTGTGAGAATATCTAGAAAAATAAGTAAGATACTGGCTTTCATTTCGGTGTGTGGCTGCATTCAAGGATTCAAGGTTCTTTTGTCATTCCACCACATGTGGTACATTTGATGGAATGAAATTATGTATACAGGGTCCCAGTTACATCCAACAAAAGTATTAAAATAGAAAAGAAAAGCAGTAATAAGATCTAAAAAAAAAAAAAAAAAAAACACCAAAAAAACAGTAATACATGCATCTAGGTGTAAGAAAGGTCCTCATCGAAAATTGGGTTGTCACATTAAAATCCAAGATGGCTGCCTCTCTCTCTCCCTCTTTGCAGAGAGCAGACTTGGATAGATCCTGTTCTTTAAATCAAACAGGGTGCCCACTCACACATTATCATCACTGAAAACACCCGACTCAAATTTCACCTTCAAATTAACTGCATATCCCATAGATTTACATATATTTACCACTCACAAATATCTAATATTGGATAATTTTCCTTAATAAATAAATGACCAAACATAATATTTTTGTCTCATTTGTTTAACTGGTTTCTCTTTATCTACTTATAGAACTTGTGTGAATATCTGATGTTTTAGGTCACATTTATATATATATATATGTGTGTGTGTGTGTGTATAGATAGATAGATGATTAGCTACACCCCCCCACCCCACACACACACACACATATATATATATATAAATGTGACCTAAAACATCAGATATTCACACAA